ATGAAGGTTTACAGAAAGCACAGCATTTCTGTTCAGACTCTCCAGTGACTCTGGTATACCTAAGGAAAAAAAACTTTCCACATTCAGGATGTTCTATTTTGTTTACCTCCCACTATCCCCAGTAAAAATCCTTAAAAGGAAAGACATAATATGTTGCTTCTCTTTTATCCCATTTTGTATCATGCAAGATCAGGCCATGGCAGTGTGCAAGGGAAACAGTTATTTTTAAAACAAAATGTCTTCTGTTTTGCAACCTAATTATATAGACAGGAGAAGCTCAGATATTTCACACACACCGCAGATTAAAGGGCAAAGACAGGGACCAATCTGGACTTTCAGACTCTAATAGTCCATTTGATGTAATGGAATAAAATGCATAATGTACATGTAGTAAAACAGAACACGGAGAACAAAAGGCACAGTTTAGACTGTGCTGAAGAATATTATTATAAAATACCTATAATTATACCTGCATTACTCAGAACGGGAGTCACATTTTAGACAATGGAAAACCGACTTTGCTGTATACTGGAGGGACAGCAGAGGCCAAGTTCTGCCTCGTTTAGAAGCAATGTTCTTTCCTAGATCCCCCATCCACCACCCAAAAGGGATCTCTAGAGCCCTATGGACCACACAGCCCTGGAGAGGGCATCAGCTGACCCCAGCCATCCCAAGACAGATAAGAAAGAGAGGCTGGTGGTCAAAAGAAAAGCAAGATTAAGAGAAAAGGCTGATCAGATTGTAAACAGTTGAGCACAGGTGCAGCTGAAGGCCCACGTCCTCGCACACTGGTTCATGTGTCCATGCACAGATGGATGTCCTCGCACACTGGTTCATGTGTTCACGCACAGATGGATGCCAGTTTGCACACACAGCCAGCCCAGCCTGCACTTGGCCTCTAGGCTTCTCCTGGAGGCAATAAAGTGAATGAACAAATCAGAGGCCTAGTGTCACTCTTAAACCTGGGCAGTAGTTGCTTGCAAGCTTACATTACTCATTGAAGTGATGCTTTTAAAAAACACCTTCATCAATTGGACTTGTAAAATTCTGTATCAATGAACATATTACGCTGAAGTGTCACTAGTACCATCTTGCTTTGGACTCCTAATTCACCCATCTTTACGAGAAGCAGTTCCTGATTATTATGGTTTAAGTCTTCCTCGATGCTGGAATTCCCAGGGGGAGTCTCAAGCCTTTACCAATTTAGCTTAGCAAAGCAGGGGAAGACTCCACAATGGGTGAAGAATTAGCCCTGCTAACGCTCCAGAAAGTTTTAAACCAGGAAATAGTTTAAGCTTTACCTAGTTCTATCTGTAAAACAGTGATGCATCAACATAGAATTTTCCTTTCTATCTGCACTGGACATGTTGAAAACATTTTCATCTGTCTATTTATATGTGCATTTGTGTGTGTCTGTGTGTGTAAAATGCGTATCTGTGTATAAGACTCAGGTGCCCATATACACATGGACAGTGTGTTTAGTTCTTGAAGCAGAGCCCTCTTTGAATCTATCATCTCAGCTTCTAATGGCCAGTTAGCAGCAGCTCGCTCTGCTCTGCTTCCCTGCAGGGTGACTAATTAATAAACTTATCCTTAATTGAGTTCTGGCTGCCAGGTCCACGGGGATTATTACTTATACATAAGTAAACAAAATTTCCCTTTTAAACAACACTCCAAATCTCCTCATCATATTTTAAACAGATATAAATTCACTGAAATCAAGCAAGTCATGGGCTAGGAGGCTGTGTGCATCCTGGGCTGGATTTCCTTTCTCGCAGGAAGCTGTGTGCTGTGGCTGTCAGGTGATGCCCCAGACCCTTTGGGGCTCACCCCCACATCAGCCTGGACTCCTGCCCTTTCTTATCTACAGATACATGAGAAAGTACCTAACGAGGTTTTGGAAGCCATTAATAGTATTTGCCTTTTCTTTTAATCTGAATCCATTATTTAAAAGCAATTCACTTTCACAACTTATAAATAGGAAGAAGACAAATTTGATGTTAAATATTTAATAAGTGCCCAGGATTTGTTCAGTGCTGACCTGGATGGATTGCGGGGTTTACGGAATATCCTAGCCTATGCTTTCGTGGAAGCTAAATGTTAAGTTCTTACAAATGAAATCATTTAATTAACTGTTTTTTAAAATTCATTTTTTATGTTTTTAATTGAAGTAGAGTCGATTTATAATAGTGTGTTAGTTTCTGGTGTTAATTAACTGTTTGTTTTCAAGGTTCCTACCTACTTTCAGATTCCAAATTGAGAGCAGAACCATGAAAGTGAAAAACTAAACACAAAGCTTGTTTTCGGCATGGTTTGGAACCTAGAGGGAGGAGATTATCCTACCTCCTGAGTTCTTCCACTCAGAACCATTTGGAAGCCATTCGGCTCCAGAGTCGGATCTTTTGCTGAAAGTACAAGAATCCATTGCGTGCTTTGATTACGATTATTACAGGCAGCTTAAAAGAATAAAATAAAGGTTTTTCAGACTCCCACATACATGCTGCTAAGACATAACCCAGAAAAAGATAGTGAGGTCAGGATTTAAAGCCAGCTCCCAAATTGTTAGGAGAACTGTGGCTAAAATTCTGTTAGGAATTTCAAAGGTCTGGATCTTTTCATCCCTATCCTAATCCCCTGTTTCCTTCTTTAAGCAAGGACTTCTGAACGGAAGTGCTGTACATGATGTGAGCCCTTCAGTGAGAATCAATCTCCCCCGAAAGACTCCTGTTCAAAATATTTGCTCATCCCCAGTCAGACCCTTATCACCATCACTGGTTGTCAAGAAGGATCTGATCTGCTGATGGTACGTCTCCCTGGGTGCAAGTGAGGGCCAGTACCTCTCGATTGCCGGGCAGCAGTCAGGGCAGGCAGCCAAGGCTGCAGGTCAGAGCCTGGAGTGGTGGAACTCTGGCCCCTGAGAGGATGTATGGTGAGATCTCAGTCCTGGGGGTATGGGTAGCAGCTCACTTCCAAGCCCAGTCAAAACTAAAGGAGCAGGCAGCAAGGGAAATAAGTGAATGACAGATACACAGAGCAACATGCATGTATCTCAAGTGCAGTATGTTAAATGAAAGAAGTCAGACAAAAAAAAGGGCCATACATGGACCACACGATTCCATTTATATGATGTTCTGGATGCAGGCAAGACTATAAGGACAAAAATTAGATCATGGTTGTCAGTGGCTGGAGAGAAGGCTGACTGCTAGGGCAAGGGGGATCTTTACGTGTGATGGCTTTGCTCTATATCTTGATAGTGGTGGTGGTTACACGACTGAATAGATCTGCCTAAAATCATTTAACAACCCATAAAAAGGGTAAGTTTTACCAAATTTAAATTAAACCTCATAAGCCTGAAATAAACCACAGTGACTGAGGAGTAGGAATAATAACAAAGACTGGGCCAACAAAGGCACTGAGATGGGGCGGGGAGAGCTTCCCCTTGAGGCAACAGAAGCCCCCAAGAGCTCTCTCCAGGGAACTGGTTTCCAAGTCTTTGGGCAAGAAGGAAACTTGGGGCCAAATGAGGGAGCCCACCCACAGATTCTAGTGGCATGTCTTAATTCCAGGCTCCGTCTGGCATTAGGGTAGTTGGTTGCCTCCAACGAGTCAATTAGCTTCACAATTTCTAGGCAGCAGGGTTAGTCTCCTAACTCAGGGCCTTTGTTTATTTTTCTGGCACCCAATATCCTTGACTCATCGTTTAGAGAGCGCCTGTGGCCAGGGCCTGTGTTTTGAAAGCCTTGTAGCAGTAAGACCTTGTGGGTCCTTCCAGGGTCAGACCCCTCCCCCATATCCTCTGCTGCAGCTCCTCTCTGATAATAGTATCTCAGGTATATATCCTGAGTTTTTCAGGTGCTAAAAACACCACCAAAGGGAAGAAATTAACTACTTGATGATCGAGAGCAAGTAGCCCCCAGACCTCTGGCACCTAGGGGTCGACAGTGTTGACTGCCCTGTGACCTCAACATCAAGCAATCAGAGAATCGTGCACAAGCTGATTGGTACCCTGTAACCCCCCTCCCTTACCTGGCCTTTAAGTGTGCTTTGCAGAAACCCTTCGAGGAGTTCGGGGTTTCTTGGGGGCATGAGCCACCCTGTCTTCCTTGCTCCGCCCTGCAGTATATCTTTCTCTGCTCCGAACTACAATGGTTCAGTTTGTTTGGCCTCGTGGTGCGGTGGGCACATGAATTTGCCTTCAGTAACAAGTGGACATAGACTACAGAAGCTGTTGCCTGGCCAGTCCAGCCCTGTGGCCCACACTTGCCTTCGAAAGCCCAGTGAGGTCAATGGGCTACTTTGCCCAGGATCCAGAAGCCCACCTGAGACACTCAGCTGAGAGCTGCACTCAACTACTGAGCGTAGCGCACACACTACTTGGCAGACCCAGGCAAGGGCACTGCTCCAAGGTCAGCGTGGCCTGGAATATAGCCAAGAAGGGACAGACTGTATCACCACTGAGCTGGGCAGGGCAGCTCGCTCCCACAGCCCGGCCTGGGCCTAGGTTTTTACACAGAAACGTCACTGCTGGGCGTTACCTGACACAGGGAGGTAGCCAGAATCTGGGTAGTTTTTCAAAAGCCTGACTTTTAGACTACTTAAAAACCATGATTCTGTTTTTTTCAGGTCCAGAGAGTGGATTCAAGCTACTGATTAATCACATCGCCAGGGGGCTTTGGTGCATCCATGTTCATCTTTCCTGATGAGCCTCTCTAAGGTTTTTGAACAAAAAAATACGATGAAGCGTCTGTTTTCCTTTGGAAATTTTTTCTCCCATGTTCCCATGGCAGTTGTATGTGTAAATTATCTTTTCTAAGCAAGGCCTTCTCCCTCGGATGTTCACAAGTCAACTTCAGCCCAGACTACACAATTATCTGGAATTATACATCAGTGAACCCCACGCTGGTGAGACATCTTAAAAGGTCGTGGTTGCCCCTGAGGTGTGGCTGCTCCCTACTGGAGGGCAGAGGGGTAGGAGGCATGAGGGCCGAAAGCTGACTTACTTCCCCCCTTCCCGCTCTTCTCCATGCGGTACTGGTAGATGTGCAGGGTGAAGAGCATGTGCGAGTTGCGGTGGTCGTCCTCGTCGCAGTCCTGCTGGTTGCCCCGCCGCGAGGCAATGGCAGCATCCAGGAAGAAGGCAGCCTTCTCGGCGGTGGGCGCCCGCAGCTCGCTCTGGTTCTGCAGCTGGAAGACACAAGGAGAGCTGACGCTGCAGGCAGGGGAGGGCTCGCCAGCCACTCGTGCCACTCGTGTCCATCCTGCGTTCTCGAAGCCTGTCGGTCCCTCTGCAACCAGGGCCCATACCCACGTGCATTTCTCAGCTTCGCTGATTCCCACCTGAAAATTAGTACTGTGCACAATTATTGGATGAAATATATTTTTACTCATTTTACAGTTTAAGTAGAATCTGTAAGTAGCAGGTGTGAAAAGCAAATGGTTGTATCTGAGAGATCGGTGGGAGCAGGTATCCCACCCTGACCTCTGCAGAGGCCAGCAAACCAACACCCAGGGCAATCCTGTACCCAGGAAAACATGAGGGTTGTGACCACATCTTGATTTCAGAGGCAGGTAGGTTGCAAAGTGAGATTTTAGTCCAGACAGTACTGGTGTCCCAAAGAAGTGAAACAATTTAGTTAGCTTTAGCTCAACTCTCAACTATTCCACCTATTTAATTAAAGCCAATTTTGGGTCATATTTACTAGCATAATTATAAACAAAAAGTAAGTGTAAACAACATATGAAAACATGCAAGATACCTGAGTGTCTCATCTATATCATTTAAGGGATATCTACTTCAGTTCCTAAATTCAGGTTCATGGCATATTTATTAATCGATTAAAGAAGCATTTAAGCAATGGGTCTAAATTCTATGAGATGCCTTCAAAATTGTGGTAAACTTTACTCAGAATTTGACCACTGTTCCTTTTCTTGAGGGGAGAAAAGGGAACTAATATTTCTGGTTTACTCAAAGAAATGATTTGCAGTATGTGCCTTAGGGTCAATACAAATTCTGACAATTATTTTATTCTGACTGATGGCACCTGTAATCTTGAACAGTGAGAGACTATGTTTGGAACCTGAGATCATCAAAATCCTCAAACTTCAAAGAAAGATTCTGTTGTGTTCATTGTTTTGTACTTACTATGGCAAAATAAATAAATAAATAACCCAAAGAATGTTTAAGATTTTTTCAGCAAGATAAACAGGATGTCTCTTCCTCTTTTTCTCAGTCTTCAGTTAACCAGATCTTTCACCTATGTGGAACTTCATTAAGGGAGTTAATAAAAACGGATGGAGGTTACAGCATATCTAAGTGTCTAGGTAATGCTTGGAAAGGGAGCAGTGGGTAGGGTGACACTGACTCCATCACAGGTGCTGTGTAGATCTTGTCTGAGTACATCTTATGATTCTGAACAGTGGTTCTCAAAGTGTGGTCCTTGGGCCAGCAACAGCAGCATCACATGGGAACTTGTTAAACGACACGCACGTTTGGGGGTCCAATCCCAGGCCTACTGAATCAGAAATTCTAGAGGTGGAGCCCAGATGTCCGTGTTTTAACAAGTCCTCCAGGTGACTCAGATGAAGACTAAAGTTTGGGAACCACTTGAATAAGCTTTGTATGACTACTTAGTTTGCATTCTAATTAGATTCCATATCCAAATGGTATCTGATGCTTCTGTCAAAACTATGAAGAGCCAGTTTTAGTCAGACATGGTACTGACCTTTGAGAGTTGCAGAGAACTAACCAGGCAATCACAACTGACAATCAAAAGAAACATCTAAGAAGGCTTCCTGGAAGAAGTGATATCCAGCTGGTATCCCCAAAATAAGGAGTTAGCCAGATAAAAAGCAAAAGGAGAGGAGGAGTGTTCCATGCACAGGGAACAGAGAACGTGCAAAGGCCCAGAGTAAGAGGGAGAGAGGCTGGTGCCTCAGAGCCTTGCTACTGAAAAAGTGTGGTCAGTTATTGGGAGGCTCGTTAGAAAAACACAATTAGGGGCCCCACCCCAGACCGACTGAACCAGAATCTGCATTTTAACAAGATCCGCAGTGGTTCATATACACACCGAGGTTTGAGAGGCACTGCTTTCTTAGGGAACCAAAATGTAATTGAAGAGGATTGGCAAGGAGGTAAGTGGTAAGAGAAGATTCTGGAAGGTCACAATGGCCTTGCACATCATGAAGATTCATAATGGAAATGGAAGGATCTGTGGTGCTTTAAGCAGGGGAAGGACACGGTCAGGTGTGTGTAGCTGGGTGTAACAAAGTGGGTCTCCTCACCTGAGAGAACAGTCCCACCCCGAGGCAGGTACTTACTAAAATGAACACCTGTCTGAAAAAGGGGGCATCAGATAAAGCCAGAAAATACAGCCTATTGTTAGAGACTGGAAAAGCTGACTATTCTGGATGGGAACCAGGGACCTCTCAGCTCATTCCTACATCCATTGTCAAACAGCAACAAGAAGAGACAGGAAGATGTCCAGAAAAGGCGAACTGGAACTTCTCTTGGCTTCCATAGTCCCAGCAATTATATCATGGTTCTAATTAGAAAGTGGTTATTAGTTTTTTCCTACAGCACTACTAATCCAGCTGTAAAGCAGTGCCAGAAACACAGTTTATAGAGCCATAAACAGCCCCAGTAATGGCTGTAGCTATTTGTGCAAAGCAGTAAATATTTCGGCTTGTTGTTAAACAAAAGAAAGATCGTACTTTTTTTTTTGAAAGGGGCATAAAGAAAGTGAATTCAATTTCCCCCAAACGTTACAACAATTGTGGTTCCTGCTCATTGTCAATTAGATTCAAGGTACAAATATTTAGGTTGGGTGAGCAGATGGCCCTGCAGCTGCAGGCCATAAAGCCCCAGTCCACTTGTAAAGTAAACACTTGTAAGCCTCCCCAGTTTACATGTTGAGTGAGTCATGGGGTGAACTGCCCCAGCCTCCCAGGTAGGGACGAGCCACCTCGGAGCCAGCCAAGCCCCAGAAGCAATCACCTGCGTGCCACAGATGGGGTCCTCACACAGGTACACGCCCGGGGACTGGCCGTCCTGCAGGCTGCCTGTGGCCACCTCCGACAGCAGGTCCCGAAGGTTCTCCTCTTTGCCCCACACCTCCACGGCTGAGATCCGCACTGAGAAACGCGCTCCCGTCTTTTCCTTCCGTTCATTTATCAGTTTGAAGAGCCAAGAGATGGCACAGGGGATGATGCCAAGGTTCTGCATGGAATCGTCCTTTCCGATCATGGTATAGGATTTTCCTGGGAGAGCGAGGGGAGAAAGAAAAGCAGCTTGAGTGTCTGGGCATCACTCTATAATCTCAAGAATAGATGCCAAGGATGCAAGAAAGGCATGGGGAGTGGGGAATGGGAAGAAAGGAAATGGAAAGCTGGGAGAAATATGAAACATTTGACAACCACCACAAAAAAAGACATTTCCAAGTACTACTGATGAAACGGCTATAAAGAAGAATGTAAGAGCCCAGACTAATGACAAGACTGAATCACCACTGACCTGGAGGAGGGTTCCAAGCACGACAAGCTGTCCAGTTTCCGCACCGTCTTACTCGTGGTGGGAGGCCCATGATCTTTCATCCGGGTTACGGTTCTTTTTCTCACCACCCCACAGATTCAATCCGCACACTTACACTTTATATCGTTTCTCAAGTTAAATGCTGGGTATATTTTTATAGCATGAGTGAATTCCATTATAATCTAAATCACTGTTTTGATCAGAGATCAAGAAGACGAAAGTGGCAGTGAGATGAAATGGGCCTTCCGTCTTGGCCCAGAACCGCCTCCATCATCACAAGGTGGCTGATGGGAGCTCTGCCCAGGGTTGCTTTTTGGACCATCCCCCCCAAATTACTAACTTATCAAGCATGTGTGGTCAGACGCAGTGAGCAGATGGCCACAGGTCAGGATTAAGAAGGCACTTCAAGGGGATTCAGTCACCAAACCATCACAGGGGTGTGTGGGCCACCTCCTCTCCCAGATTGATCAGCACAGGTGGATTCCTGACAGCTGGATGAATGGTGGGAAGTGAGGCTGCTGTCAGGCTGATCTCCCCAGACGGGTGCCAACATGGTCTGGGTATCGCTTGGTGACAGTTTCTCTGGCCTTTATAGTTGGCTCCATTCACCAATCTGAGTCCTCTGGGGAAGTTGGGGTCGGGGAGCCTTCTCTGCTTCCCAACCACCCCTGCTCAGGAAATGTAATTTTCCTGCTGGCTTTCTGGGTGTGACCCTGACCTGGACCAGGTGGGAACAACCCCACTACTCGTTTTGTTCATCTCGTGGACTCTAAGGCTTTCCTAGATGATTGGGAATCCAATTAGGACGAACATCTACATTTCAGAAGCACAGATGGTTATTCGTGATTATTCAAGTCAGCACCTAAGGGAAACCACCTCTCCTTTCATTGGAGGGTTCTGGGTACAAAACAGAAGAATAGAGAAAGTAATTGGAAAGCCGGCAAACAGCATGAATAAGTAAAGCTCTCACTGACCGAGCTTGGCGTGACCGAAACAGAACACACAGCCATCTGCCCCGTTGACCACAGACTGGATCACCTCTGCCACGGTTCCAGCACACACTTCAGCCTGGCAGACACAAGAGACACGAGCGGTGAGTGGATCCTTAACAGCAGAAACTTGTGCCTGCTTTCCTGCGGCTCAGGGACTCGAGAGCCATGGAGTTCCCAGACAGGTCAGCTCTAACAGAGTTCTGGAGGTGCTCAGAACCCATCGGACTTCCCATCCCCTTGCCACCTGAGTGTTACACACATTAGCTGCAAACCACCCTTCCTGCTAATCTGTGGTACATCTCGCTGCTCTCTCTGCAGATCATGTGGGAACGGACTGGAATGGGAACAAAGGGTCCTTTCATGGACCTCATGCCCTTCCCTGATCTGCCATTCTGGCCTCCCTAACAAGCATTTAAATTTCCCATTCACCCTCTGCTGGTTAGATCTGTCCTTCACACACACACACACACACACACACACACACACACACACACACACACAAGCTTGTGAAATGGGTTAGGCTCATTAGAGGGTAAAAGGTGCTGTGCCATTTCAGGAAAGTGACCTTGAGATCCACTGTAGTTCTAATATAAGCAGGAGCTTTGTGATGGGCATCTGTCTTCCAGCTTCCTCCTCTTTCTCCATCTACATCCTCCTCTTTTCAAAATCAGCCTTTTCTTTCTCTACAGATACATTCAACGTATACAGTATCAGTCACCATTGGTCAGTGTGTTACAGCGGGTGGTCTTCAGCCTGCTGTGTCTCAGCTCCAGCTTGACTATTAAATCTTTAGACAGAGGCCAGGCTCTTGGTGACTTTTCGTATTTCCCCATGAACACCCAATAATACAGCGCTCTGCAAACGATCAGGAGGTAGATTTTGTGAACCAGCTCGGGGATCCGGGAACTTTCTGGTTGGCATCCGTCGCTGTGTGCTGCACCTTCCTTCCTGCTTCAGCACCGGAGTCAGAGCTGGAAGCATTCAGAGGACGTGCAGACACAGGGCTCTGCAGGCATCGGAGTCATGAGCCTTCCGGTGGGAATCTGAGAACTGCAGCCGGCAGTGAGTGTCGTTACTCAGCTCCAGGTTTCAGCAGCACAATGAACCTATGTTCGGAAATCAACTTTCTCTCCCAAACCGAAATTGAAAAACCACACTTCCAACAACTGTCGCTTGTTCTGGTGGTCGCCTCAGCACCTCCTGGGTGAAGGGGGTGGCAGGACAAGGCTGCCGTGGGGACCACAGGATCTGTCACACCCCAGGATCTAGCTAACAAGAGCCTTGTGCTAAATCCTGAGACTGAGGTGGTAGGACTCTTGAGAGAATTTGCCAGAGGCGCCTCTGCACAGCCAGGAGATAATATTACCGAACAAACTCTGCCTTCTTTGGACATAAAGTGAGATGGGGGTTAGGAGGCTGAGGGCCCACCTTGAGACATACATCTAATAATATATTAGATTCAAGGTCAGCAAAGAGAAAGCCAGTTGTGTGTGGACCAAACCCGCACATATCACTGAATCACGTGTACAAGGAAATGCAGACATGAGGACAGAGGAAATGCAGGAGCGGCCTCACAGGGCACAGGGTGGGCAGGCCTCCCCTTGCAGAATTCCTGCCCAGTGTCCACTGAGAAGAGAATGGCCAGCCACCTGTCCATTTGGTGTTTGTGAGGAGCTGACCATGGCCCCTGGAGGCCCTTTGCTGTCTTTCCCCTTGAGGCTGGAGGCTTTCCAAGCAAAGACTCACAGGCAGGGCTAGCTGTGCAGGAAGCTTCTGTTCACCCCCAGGCAGGCCTGAGACCCTTCCAGTAATGACAGAATACTTGTGTTGCCCTTCCCACACCAAATCCCGATGCTGAAATTCCCATGTGATAGTATTTGACGGTGGGGCTTTTGGGAGGTGATTAGGTCACAAGGGTGGCGCCCTCATGGATGGGAGTAGTGCCCTTATGAAAGAGGCCCCAGAGAGCCCTCTTGCCCCTTCCACCAGGAGGACATAGCGAGAAGATAGCTGTCTATGGATCAAGACGGGGCCCTCACCAGATGCCACATCTGCGAGCACCTTGATCTTGGACTTCCCACCTCTTGGACTGTAAGAAATAGTTTTCTGCAGTTTATAAGCCAGTCTGTGCTGTTTTGTTAAGGCAGCACAAATGGACTAAGACACCTCCCCAAAGCTAGATCCAGCAGAGGTCTGCCTAGTGTTGGGCAGCTGATGACAGCTGAGGCCACTGGAGGGTACCAAGGATGGCTTATAAGAGCTACGAGGAGAAAGGACTATTGTAATCACGGCTTAGCTTCAGGAAGCTGATGGCCTTAGAGACTGAGAGGAAGCAAAATTCGTAACTGCCACCGTGGTGGCTGCTGCTTCACAGGCCAACAGCAAGGGCCTGGAGCAGAGGCTCACTCTGCATACTTTCCTGCTCTCCTGCTTCAGAGGCTCTCAGGTGCTCCACGCATGCCCACAGCATGATTTTACTATTAACAGTGACAACAGAATAGTAAAAAATTATGACGTTTAGTGAGCACTCAGTGAATGAAAGACTGAATTTCTAAGTCTCAATTTCCTTGTCTGCAGTGTAAAAGTAGCAATACCTCCCTTCCAACAGCACAGAATTCCAGGAAGGGTCACATGGATTAATGCATATGAAACTTCTTGCAAACATCAAATTTATATTGAAATGTAATTTATCATAATATTGGAAATTTTAACAAAAGAAAGCATTCCGAAGCAAGTGCAGCTATAACATTGAGCATGTGAGTTGTGGTATCCAGTGTGAAGTATAAGCCAAGATGTAAGCAATAAAAATGGCTCCTTTTTCTGGAATAAATCTAAGACTCATTAAGAAATAGACTCACAGACAGAGAATACAGACTTGTGGTTACCAGGGGGGTGGAGGGTGGGAAGGGATAGACTGGGATTTCAAAATTGTAGAACAGATAAACAAGATTACACTGTATAACACAGGGAAATATACACAAAATGTTATGATAACTCACAGAGAAAAAAATGCGACAATGAGTGTGTATACGTCCATGAATGACTGAAAATTGTGCTGAACACTGGAATTTGACACAATATTGTAAAATGATTATAAATCAATAAAAATGTTAAAAAAATAAAACCCATTAATAGCCCGCACTTAATTTAGGGTTTGCTTTGGAATTCTTACAACTTAGGGAGATTTGCTTTTGAAAAGTTTTAAGTGTGTTAATTAAGTTATTTGTAGGACATTTATTAGACCCAATGTCAGGTTCAGATTAGCGAGCCCACTGGGTGGTACAACACACAAAAAATGTAATGAAGAAAAGAACTATAGAACTTACTCATAAAGTACTTTGTCTTTTCATGGTGAAACTCTTCGGGGGAACCACTTGCTCAGTTTGTTAATGAATGGAGCCTATATATGTGCTAAGTGCCTCTAGTGTAATATGGGTGCCTGTGTGAACATCACTACTTCCTACACTCAGATGCCACATGGAGGAAATTGCCAGGCTCTGCAAATGGTGGCCGTCAGAACCCTGTCTTCAGATTCTGCTCCAGGCTATTAGTTACTCGATTGCATTATGTTTTGTATAAATCTTGGGAAGTCCTGGAACTTTATCTGGAAGGTGCAGGTGTCTGATACCAAAATGCAAGCAAAGTGGGCCACCATACACCTATAACCTGGGTTATAGCTGTCTACTAGAAGATCCAGTTGCAACAGTTCATTGCAGATGAACTGCACCAGATGGTGTAAGTGAATCTTCTAGTCGGCATCTGTTCTTACTGGGATTGGTTCCAGGAGCTTTGGTTCAGGAATCTTGGCACTCTGGGCCCTCAGGAAGCCTCCAAATTATACTCCTAACAGATTAACAAAAATGGCTACAATTCTCCACCCCTCTTTGTGTGTTGGCCCCTTGCAATGTGACTTTGCAGCTCCTGCAATCAAGAGGTAGAGTCTCTTCCCTACCCCTTGAATTTGGGCCAATCAACTTTAGCAGATATGATGTAGTGTCAATTCCAAGCCTAGACCTCAAGAGGTCTGCAAGCTTGGATAATGTCATTGCCATGAGAGCAAGCCCAAGATAGCCTGCTGATTGATGAGAGATAACATGGAAGACAGACCAGGTGATTTGGCCAAGGCCATTCTGGACCAGCCAAAAACTGGCCAACCCTCAAATGTGTGACAGCATCCAGCCAAGATGAGTAGAGCTGCCTACCCAACCCAAAGCTGATCCCTGACACACAAGTGAGCCAGGCTAGGAGCAGAGGAATGCTCATGACCCATAAGAAGTAATAAATATTCATTATTTATAAATAATAATAATATGAGCAATAATAAATATTTGTTGTTTTAATCCACTAGGCTTAGGGTGGTTTGTAACACAGCTTTCCCTAGCCTCTCCTATTCCTCTCCACTCCACTGATCCAGGCCACAGGACTGCATGTCAGTCTCAGTTTCCCTGCCTAGCCCTCCAGGTCCTCACCAGGAATTGCCCTCTATAGGGCCCTAGAACCCTGCCTAATTCTAACTCAGCTTCATGAAACATCTTTTCCCTTCTTACTTTCTAGTCAGAAGCCCAGAAGCCCAGTCAAGAGCAGGGTCCTAATGAACCAGTCACCAGCACCTTGATGCAGCTGTTCCTGAAACTTCCAATTCTGTCTGCTCTCTTCTGCTTCTGTTTGCCATCCACTGATGAGTCCTTTCTTTCTTCTCTCCAAGGATATGTTTTGTTGAAATCCTGACACCATGCTCCTGCCCACGGTATGACACCAGCAATTCAAAAGGACTGACCTATTCAATGGAACTTAAATGGGCTTCCAAAAGTTGTTGTGTAGATGGTGAAACTGACTCATCAGAGTGCTTTGGAAGACACTCTCCCAGCTCATGGGTCCCAGTGAACAGTTAAAGCTTCCTGAAACTAATCAATATTGCCTGAGCTCGAGGAAGGGTTATACCTACCTGAGAAGCGTCTTGTGGAAAAACTGCATCAAAGGCAAACATCTTAGGAGGAACTTGGTTCCCTCTCTTTTGGAAGGCATTTAGACCTCCACAAGTCAGAGGATCATACAAGGTGATTTGCTTCTTTCGTGGGTCCACCTTTAAGAAAGAGCTGGATTCGGAGGTATCGCGAGCCAACGTGGAACAGATGCGAAGCATGACTTTAACCTGTTAAGAAGCCAAGGCAGGAAATGGCATGGGTGACGGTAGCTGGATACTTTATGGTGGAGTACCTTACTCTGGAGACACAAGTATACATGGCAGCGTGGTATCGTCTCACAATAAATTATGATAAAATGCACAATGAATTAGCAACATAATCCTCAGTGGGTCATGGGAAAACGGATTTATTCATAATTACCCAGTAGAATATTTTGATCTGTCCATTACCTTGTTTCAGAAATGGTGCAGCATGTTAGCATGTTCTTTGTCTTCTTATTAAATATAAATAGAAAATTAACTGGACCCAGGTGGCCCAATTACTTAGATGAAAAGGTAATGCGGACTGCCAAGCTTTAGGGGCTGGTGCAGCTCCCTTGAAGCTCCCAGATCAATAAACCACGAACATAAAAGTTAGCTCCATAATTTACTCCTTGCTTCCTGCTCATCAGGACTCTTAGAGACAAAAACCCACAGTTATTAGTGTCATCATTAGAAGCCGGTGAAATGGTCTGTTTTTAATGGCCAGCATTTGAAATGTGTTCCAAGGGGCAATGGTGATAAAAGATTTGTTTGAAACATGTTATTTGGAATCCCATTAAGGGAGTGCATAGAAATTGTTGTTTTAGGGAATGAAAGTGCATCACTGTGGGAAACAGGAGGCAATGCCCCTTTAATCCACCTCCTGAGTAATTGAACAGTAATGTTTCTAGTCCTCAGCCCAGCCCAGCCCAGCCCAGCCCCGCCCCATGGCTGAGCAGGGCATTTGTAGAAATGGACTAGAGTCTGGAGATGAGAAGAAGTCAAGCTGAAGCCACACACACACAGTCCTAGAGGCTCAAATCTTACAGAAATGGATAGCATTTGCTCCCTTACCAGCTCTTGGTTACTCATGTTGCTGGTTCATGCCAAAAGTGTGGATCACCTACTGTCTGAACCAGGTACTGAGCTAGGCCTTGGAGATACAAAGACCCATAGTACATAGATTGGAGGGGTAGACAGACATGGAGACAGAAAATTTTTGCAATATAATGTGGCAAATTCTGATGCTATGTACAGAGTTATTTTAAAACTCCTCTCTGTGTCATGCCCTCTTCATCTAATCAATTTTCAGGTCTGATGAAATCTCAGTTATGCAATTTTGGGCAGAGGGATCGCAAATTTTTACAGAAAGTATTTCCAACCTACAGAAATGCTCAGGGAATAATCTACACCATGCATACCGAGTGAGGTCATCCCCTGCTTATCTCAGCCCTGCCTATGGGGGCATGGGAACTTGTCTGCAGTGCACAGAGCTGAAATGTAAAGAATTCCCAAGGCGCTGGACTCATCAGACGTCCTGCACCGTGTCCCGGCTGTGCTTATTCTCATCCCTTAAGAATAGTACTCAAGGGTAGATTCGGCGGCTCGGGGTCACAGTGGAAAAAGACAAGGCTGGGATGAGGCTGACCTCTCAGGGTTCACATCTCGGTTCTCCCACTGAAGTCACATAATGATACCTGCTGTTTCCTGAGGGTCTATGGTATGCTAGGGCTGTGCTGTTACCTACAGCATCTTATTTAATCCTCCCCACAGGCCAGTGCACAGGCATTCTTGTCCAGATTTTATAGATGAGAGAGAGAGAACAGATGTTACAGAACTTGCAGGTGGTAAGGCTGGGCTCTGCTCCCACCTCGGTCTGACTCCAAAACCCACACTTTTCCCACTATGCCAACGGTTGCTGTCTATACGTAGTCAAGCTTCTCAGAACCTCAGTTTTCTCTCATGTGTATTAGGAACAACAATGCCCATCTCATGGGACAGTTGTGAGAAGAAAATGAATTGACACGCGAAGCACTGAGCACAAAGTAGGTGCCTGATCCCTTTTTCACTTCCTCCTCCCCATACTTTCCCCCATCTGAATAATGATACCCTAGCATTTCCCAATCAGTGTTAACAGAAGGTTTCAGAACTCCCTGCCCTGGACTCACAAACAGGATGCGATGGGAGATCACTGCAGACAGACGGAGCTGGGCCTTACAAGGCTCCTATTAGTAAAGCCGTGCCAAGGTTCACACGTAGTCACTACGTATATGACACTAACCATCACATCTGTCTGCATTCCTTTCTGGCAATTTTCTTCTTCACTGTTGAGTGTCTCCAATCTTCTTTTGGTTCCATTCACTTCTATAGATTTGCCCCAGTTATGCAGCAGGTGTGCCCAGAGCACGTACTCCAATTGCAACTTTTGGTGGGCATCAGGGACCTCCGGGCTTTCTGTAAGCAAATCTCCTAGCCCAGCCTCTGAACACTACAAGTCAGGGACGATGCAACCCCAGGCAGAACTGATGGAGTCACATGGCCCGCTGCTTTTCTACTTCACCATTTTGCATGCAATTTCTGCGTAACTAGAGGTGATGAATGTAAAATACGGGCTAAGTCAGGCAAGGGCCGACAAGGAGAAGCAGGAGAGAAGGGGCGGACTTAGTGAGTCGTTTGTCTAGGGGGAACGCTCCTGAATCTTAATGAAGTTCCAGGCCTGCAGTTCAATTTCTGCAGACAAGCTGAAGAGCCCAGCCGCTGGTCTCACCAGGGAGATCCACAGCTCTTTAAAAAGCCATTGAATTCTGGGCTGAGGGGGATGCCGCACTCCATTCTTTTCTTTGCAATTCATTTAAATAAAAGGCTATTTCTTCCCCTTAAAGGACAGAAACTGGGTTTTCCTGCTTCATTTCTTTGTGTCATTATTCCTTTCGTCCAGTCCTCCACTTCCCGCTAATCCTCTGTAATTAAAGTGCTTAGGAGATACCACTTGTGATCAAGAAGGTCCCCTGACTTCTTGCCAGGAGTTCATGCTTTTGTTGCAAACACTGGTAGGTTCTTGGCAACATCTACTTCCACCCTCCCTCTCTCTGCTGCTCTGGGTAGAGCAGAGGGTCCCCACAGTTGGTAACCTGCACAGAACTTCTCCCCAGCTCTCAGGAGAAAGGGGGCAGTCACTGTTTCAGTCCCAGCATCAGAACTGGGAGAATGGGATCTACAAAGACCCAGAGAAAGAGGAAGGAGGGCCTGACGCCCTGATACCCCGAGAGTAGCTTAGCACCTCATCTCCCAGAGCTCTCCCTGGTTGAGACCCCACTTTGCCTCATGGATCTAACTGTTCAGAGGATGGTGCGAGACACCTGTTGCTCCAGGCAGCAGTCATCTCACTGTCCTGCTCATCCATTATCTCAGCACCTCCTCCTGGATGGCTGGAGGGGGACAGAGGGAGAAGGCATTTGTGAGACTTTCACACAGCTTTGCTCCTGAACTGTGTAGACTCGCCGTCAAGATGAAGGCAGCGCTGACTGCCACATAGCCTTACAGGAAGCCCCCGAGGGGCAGCCCCACCAGTGCTCACTGCTCCACTCCATATGGTCATATGGACCCTCCCCTGTCCCAAGCATGGACCAGGGAGGCTCTTCACTGCCTGTCTCTCTACCCAGAAGCTGTCTGGCTGCAGGCTCTTATCAGACTGTAAGGCTCAGGAGGGCTTGGGGCAAATCTTACTATCCAACGGGTCCCTCACCAATCAAAGAAAGACTACAGATGATGGTAAGGTGGTGGGACACAGAGAGGACACAGTCATCCTGCTCAGGCGTGGGCTTTGTTGAAACTCCTTTATGAAGCCTCACAATGAAAGCCTGGGACAGACACGCATGAAACAGTGACCGGTCCCCAGCCTGCATCTGGGCCACAGTAAATGCTCAATGAGAGTGTGCCGGTAAAGATACACAGTATTTCCCCTACAAGGTTAGAGGCTGCAGAATAAATTAACCACCACCATCCTTCAGTCCCTGTACATTTCTATATTCTGACTCCTGACAGTGATGCCTAAGTTCACAGGTTTTTCAGAATCAGCTCAGTAGAAGATGGTCAAGGTGAAGTCAGATCAACCACAAATACCATGTGGCTTCATTTTTGTCTCAATCCCAGCAGTATTCGAATTATCTTTAAGCCTTCCCCATCTTTTCTTCAGTTTCTAAAATGTGTCTGGCAATGGTTCTCCAAGGAATGCCAGAGGCATGTAAGATGGGTTCATCGGAATCCACCAACAGGAAGAATGGTGGGAGAAGCAGAGTGGGGGAGACTGTCAGGGGGATTCCAGAACCAAAAGCAGTGTCTCTCGAGACCGAAGAGCCAAACTGCAGAGCCAGTGAGCCCCAGAACTCTGGTCCAGGGTCCTGATTCCCTCCTGCTGAGGCAAGTGGCAGCTGTGGTGATGCTGGGATTCCCCATGATGGATGTGAGCCATGGAAACAGCCATCACCCTGGCTCTCACAGATGATACAGAGCCGAAACGCAAGCAAGAGACTGGGCTGACCTTCCAGCCTTGCCTGATGACAGCGATGATGGAGATGGAAACCTCACTGTGCTGCCCCTAGTGCAGACGAAGAAGCCTTCCCTGGTTTCTACATATTTTTGGATGGGATTCAGCTCTTGAGGGCAAACTATGGAGGGATAACAAAAGAGTGCATTGAATCTAAAGTATATTCCCTTTCTTACAGGTTCTGGGTGTGACGGACACCAACAGCAGTGAACTAGGAGCCAGGAGACTGGTTCTCATCCAGACGTCACCACCATTGAGTGGCTGGTCACCTGAGGTGTGGGCCCTGGTTTCCTTATCCCTAAAATGGGGCTACAGTGTCACGTCCCTTGGTGGACAGTTGTGAAGAAACAAAGAAATAAAGACAGACTGTAAAGCAGAGTACAAATGTAAAATATCATTCTCCAAAGGAAGAAAGGAATGGAGGAAGGAAGGAGGGAGGAAGAAAGAAGGAAGGAAAGGAGGAAAGAAAGGAGGAAAAAAAGAATGAATTCATATTCTTCAAATCAACCAGTATAAAACAGACTTGCTACATCAAATTCATGACACTGGGAGCCCTTCTCCTAGGCTTAATTTTAAAAATTAAAGCAAAAAATTCTTTAATGAACATACACATACTCAGTGACAAGAGAAACAAAGAATAAAATATTCTTCTTCCTCACCC